TATAATTAATAATGATAAGCAGAAAATCTACCTTGTCGACGCAGATGTTATAATGTAGTAATAACAATGTAATAACAATGTAATAAAGCAGAGTAAGCATGCCCGCTAATGATTGATTGATATTTTGTCATATCATTACAGGAACAAGCTAAGTATAATTAATAATAATTATTATTAAAGGCTGTATTCCTCACATGTCAGTTGCAGGGATGTGATATTGTGCGTCCTGATTTACTGTCACTGCTCACTGGGAAGCCTAACAGAACGGAGCCATCATCAGTGTAATTAATTACATCTGTGCTTTCCTCTCTACAGTATGACCAAAAAAAAAACAAAAAAAGATCCATTAACTGAATTATTGTGATAATTCTCGCAGCAGACCGCCTGCTGTTTTCGCCAAAGAACAGTGATTTTATTTTATTATTTAATTCAGCGAGTTGTTGTTAAACACATTAAAAACACGCTGTGCTTTGTTTAAAGATGCGCATCGGATGTAAGATTTTTGCCATTTTGCCATAAACAGTACGAACCTAAAGAACCAAAATTTCAGATCGTGCAGTTCGTGGTTGGTAATGAGCCTTCTGAAAATAGAGCTTGACGCTTTGCAGTCAGATCGGTTAGTTAGGCTGTATTTTTGGTTAAAAGCAAATGGTTCACTTTTGGAATGAAATGTAAAGTTTTAGTTTTACATCAACACATTCGCCCATCTTTAACGCTTATGACAAATATGACAAATTTTCCACAGCGGTTTAAAAAAAGCATGCATTACTAATAGCAGTGATGATGGCTTTGCTCTATTCAAGTTTCCCGTTGAGTCATGACAGAGTGGCCAACACTTGAACGGACTGAAAAAAAGCCAGTGATGTTCCATATGCCTGAAAATAGCTTAAGAATAGAGGCTGTCAGCGAAAACATTGTGGAGGTGAAGGGCAAATACAGCCAGCAGATGCTTTATTACGCAGACGATTAATTTATCTTCAGTCTGTTTAATATAGTATAGAACAAATATCCACCTGGGGAGGGGAACTCACCGTCACTGCTGCTCCTCACTACAACTGCAGGCGTTTCGACTTAAGAGTAGAGCTCCAACAACTAATTGATTACTGTTAAATCAAATTAAATTGATTCTAAGTCAAATCAATCAAATCAAGGTTATTGTCATGTTGCTGTACATACACAGTAGTACAGGCAAGATGAGAGAGCGTTTCTTCAGGATTATTCAACCAGCAAGTTTCCTCCTCTTCCGTTTATGCTCGCACCGTTTGCGCTTCCTTCTCTCTCGGGTAACTGCCGGCGTAGTCTGTGATCGGACTCCATGTTGGCGGAAATCACAACCAATCGCCGCAATTCCAGCGCCGTTCGCTGTCCTGACGCCCAGCAAAGTCTCCCAAGTTTTGCAGAATGAACGTCTGGGATAAACAAAACACTCAAAACAGTCACTTTTGTTGTCTCCTGAAGGGGGCGCTGCATCTATGCGCGCTGCCATCACTGTGGCAATAAGTCATTGAATTTGAATATTTTCTAATTTTCTTTCTCCTCTATACCAGTAAACTAAATATTGTTTGGGTTGTGGACAAAAAAGTCATTTAAGGAAGTAACTTCGGATCAACATTTTCCACCATTCACCAATCATTTAATCAAGAAAATAATTGAAAACATTAGTTAGTCGCAGCTCTACTTGAGATGCGGAGAAGCACAGATGTAAGCAACTTAATCAGGGCTCTATCCTATTTCCGTTTCAGTGATATCAGCGAGACAGTATATACGTCAGCATGTCTACTCTCCCGGAGCACCTAAGGAGCCATAATTAATGTTATTAGTGGCGAGTGTGTCATAAAAGTCACCTTGAGAAAGTTCCGTTACAACTTTCGCTGCTTGTTAAGCGTGAGCTTGTTAAGCCGAGGAAATGTTGTCAGTTTATAAAAAGGTCAGTTTTCACTCCGCCGGTAAGATAAGTTAGCCGCGGCGACGGCTCGGCGACTGGAGCCATTTGCGGAAGATGGAGATGATCTTTCTTAAAAGACAAGCAACTGGCTCATCTTGTTAAGCACATTGGTTTGTTTGGGTTGTGGCATTGGAGATAAATGGATCTTCTTGTAATGAGCTGTCAGTAGAATAAATGCTTCAAATTCCCCCTACTGCAACACACACACTCACACACATGAACACAGTCCAGGGAACTGCAGTCTCAACAAAACCAAATAGACAATCTTCAGGTTTGACATTTTGACTGTTCCGATTTTGCCGTCTCACTGCTTAACCTCTGCAGAAAGGGACGGATGCCAGAATCTTCCCTCGTAGGTCGTACAGTAAATCTGTCCCATGTGTCCCTTTTGTTGTTTTTTTTTACTCATGGGTAGAAGAATAATAACAAGAAGGCTAAGGTTAAGAACGTTTAACGATTCTACATTCAGGGAGGTGCCGCATGGACCCGAGGCGCTGGTCTTTGGATGCTCTTTATCCTCCAAATTGAGTCAGTTTTTAGTTTTGCTTTGAACAACTCCGTGGTGAACGATGGCAAACCACATGCTATACGTCTTTCAAACCCCTTAACGTGAATGCACACGTAGCGAGCAAAGTGGTTAAAGAAAAGGAACTCCTTGCAGAGTGTCAAGGGCAAGTCCACATCTGGGCTCGAAAATCCATAAAGCTACATATCGTCTTGGTCCACACACCTCTAAAGGTTCTCTGAGCCACAGCGTGAAGCCGGCTGATTTAGTTTAGCAATCAATATGTTTTCTGTGAGCGTAAGCCACGGTAATCTTTTTACAGCACCTCTCCTCTCCCCCTTTCCTCTCATCCTCTGCCCTTGAGTCGATCCCCTCCACCCCTCCATTGTACCTCTAAGGCCGTGATTGCGTCTAACAGCCACTGCGGTTACACAGAGAAACCGAAAGAGAGAGAAACAGGATGAAAAATTGATATCAAGAATAGGGGAAGCTACCCCCCCTCAAGTCTCCATGGCACAAGTTCTGTGCTGTGAGACTTGGTCCCATAAAAGTGGATTATGGGAAATAGGTTTCTGCTGCTTGCAGGGCTCTCAGAATGCAGCAAGACAACCCATCTTTTTGACAGGAAATGAACTGCAGCTCCTTCGCTTCAACCAGAGCAGCTGAGCAAAAACGCAGCTCAACACACGCTGCATATCTCTGTGCTTGTAGGACTGCAGCTATTTATTTTGCAAGTGATTTCTCCGCTGATATCACGGAGGTGCAAATAGAGCGAAAAATGAAATCGGAAAACATGTTTAAAGCCTATGCGCTATTCAAACGTATCAGCGTTTATGGGAGTTCTTTGTTGCCTTTTGCTCTGGTGCAGAATGTCCTTCTTCATCTTCTACCCTTCCCAAATTCACAGCTTCTTTGTCATGACCATCCTTTCATGTACTTATCATCTCCTGCAGGGAGAAAGAAAGAGATTCCAAGAGGTCTGTTCTTATCTTTGCCTGCAGCTCTCTATTCTGCCCCCATTCTGTTGGGGGGACACGACTGTTTTATTTATTGGGCTGCCAAGCATCGTACAGACAAATACATGCACATGGGCGATGAAAGAAGTAGCCCCGTCCTCTAGTTTAAGTAAAAGTACTAAAACTCTAAAAGTACTCTGTTACAAGTAGAAGTCCTGCATTAAAAATGTTACTGTGCTGATTTTTTTTTCTCTCCATTGATTGATTGATTGTGAAAATGGTGGGAAATACTATTTAAAGTGTCCTAAAGAGTCATCAGAATAGTGCTATTAAAAGACCATTAATTGACAGCTGCACTAGCAACTGTTGGGTAGTTTAAATTACTAACTAATAACAAAAAAAATCCTATTTTAGAAGTTAGTAATGCTTTATGTACCAAAAAAAGCTTTAAATGGTACCATAGTTTACACAATGGACATCATGCTGTTTTCAAAAAGTCTTAAAGTCAGATATTGAGTCAGTAAACTTATTAGGAAAGGGTTTACGGAGGTCAGGGTCCTCGCTAGGATTATTTGACATTGTACGAGGGGAGGGTCTTAGCAGATGCTGCTCACTGTTAGCGGCAAATACGCTACCGAATAAGTGAATAGCAGCGTTAGCAGCGAAGGTAGAGAAACTGCGTCGGCGCTTGCTGTTAAATATTTTCCCACTACATACCCTCGAAAACAGCGTAACGGCCCAATTTGCAGCATAACGACCCATTTTAACAGCGTAACGGGCCGTAACGCTGTTATAACGTTGGCGAGAACCGTGGAGGTAACACATCAAAGGTGAAGTGGGGTCATTTTCTGATAGACTTCTATACAATTGGACATATTCTAGCAACCACAGGAGTCGCCCCCTGCTGGTTGTTGGATAAAATGTAGGTTTAAGGCACTTAGCTAATTCTTTCAGACCCTAAAGTAAAGTCTATCTTGTGGAGACTCAAGTACCTCAGAACTGCACTTAAGTAAATGTACTTCTTCTTAATACCCACACACTTTTTCTCCTTTGTGTCCAGACTAACGTCATATGCGCGGCCAGTGAGGAACCCTTTAATCGTATTACTCCTGAATAGGTTTTGATTGCTATAATTGACTGCAAGAAATGCAAAACAAAACGTGCACCGTGTTGCGCTTTAAGGTTAAATTTAATTTCCACGTACGAGCCACCGGTGAACCCAACACCTTCCTCCTAACCTCGGTGAAACAGAGGGGACTGTAAAAAACATCAGCACATAAAACATTATCATAGAAAAACTTCCAAGGCAGAAAAACAGTAAAATCTCCAAATCCCTGTCTCTGAATGATGCAGGAGGCCAGCAGCTGGACGGGGCACCGGAACATGCCAGGATTGCAGATATTTATTCTGAACTGCTGTCGAGTTGTTTTCATGGAGTTCAGGATTTGTAGCTGCTCCCCTGACTGTTAAATACGACATTTAGATTCTTTTCTGAGATACCTGTAGAAGTGCAGCTATGATACTTTGTTTTCTCTTTCTTTCTTTCTTTCTTTCTTTCTTTCTTTCTTTCTTTCTTTCTTTCTTTCCTTTTCAGGGACAACAACTTCATTAAGGACTTTCCCCAGCTAGCCGACGGTCTCATGGTCATCCCCCTGCCGGTAGAGGAACAATGTCGAGGGGTTTTGTCAGAACCGCTGCCCAACCTGCAGCTCCTCACAGGTGACAGTGTTTGGAGGAAGTTTGGGAACATGTGTTTTCTTTTTCTGTTTCTTTCCTTTGGAGAGCCATTTCATTCATTGCACTTTTCTCCAGCAATAAATCAAACGACTTTCTATCACCCAGTCACAGTCGTTGGCTTTATAATATTTCTAAAAGCCGATTGGAAAACATAGCGCCCGTGTTCATCTTTAACAGATTGTGTCTGTGAAGCGACGTCTCAGTGCGTTGGGTTTTTTTTTGCTGATGCATCGCTTTTCTTCCCCGAAATCCAGCGAAAAGTGCAAGATCGTTTAATATGATGTAATTAGATAGACGACGGGCCGATTCTTGATCATTCTTTAGCGCCTCTGTGGTGGTGAACCCTATACCCAATCTCAAAATGCAGTCACATACCCAAACAGCATATAGGATCTTAGACACGTAAACACTTAACCTACCCACCGTTTCATCCCGTTATCCTTTTACTTTTGCCGGTTCCACCCCATCCTGTGTGGGCCACAGTCAGCCAGACATTTGGCTCGAAACCTGCACCTCCACCTCTGCTCCCTAATCCTTCCATTAGCTAAATTGGCATTTGGTCCACACTGACCCTTGAGATATTTTACTTGGGTTGTGCTTTCACCACAATTGGACACACACACACACACACACACACAGCCATGCACAGAAACTAAATTGCCCTTTTTTTCACTGTGCATGACTGTCTCAGGTGTAAAACGCTTACCAGAGGCGCGAGATCAAAGTTCCCGTAAGCAGTTTATTTATTTATTTATTTATTTTTCTCCTCCCACCTTGCTCTTCACTTCTGTGGCTTTAGTTCTAAACCGGTGTGAAAGTTTGATAATTGAATTGCAGAGAAAGGCAAGATTGCTCCCACTTCTAATGTCAGCAATCCAATTGGAGTTCAAGCGCCACTATATATCACCATTGTTCCGGGAGCAGCTGGGATATGGGCTGTGATAATAAATGATGTTAAGGCAATAAGAGAGGGAGGGGGTACCGATGGCCGCGCAATAAGCTGTACAAATTAAATGATGGATTTAATTCATCTATTCATTTGTTTTGAATTCCAGCCTCTCTTTGTGAAGCTGAGGCTTGTAATTTGTTTCAAATTTGTTGTGTTTTGCTACTTTTCTGGTTTATGCGCCTTTTCAATTTGTTGTTCACATTTTTCTGTCCTTCTTAGGTGATGCCCAGTTCAGCGAGGCGGTGGGCTATCCCATGGTGCAACAGTGGAGAGTACGCAGCAATCTGTACAAAGTCAAACTCAGCTCCATTACCTTATCGGCAGGTCAGTGTCATCATAAACAAACCTCTTCCTTTTACTGTTTTTCTAAATTCCTACATCGTTTTTTATTGATTTTCTGCCAATCTACACAAGTCTGACTGTTTTGTTTGGGTAACTAACTGTGCTTTTGGTAGATTTTGACACCAATCTGACCTAAATATCTATCTTTTGTTACCACCACCTCGCTCTAGGCTTTTCCAAGGTGTTGAAGACGCTGTCGGCGGAGAGCACGCGTGAGGAGCTGCTCACTTTTCTCCAGCAGTACGGCAGCCATTACGTGTCTGAGGCCCTGTACGGCTCCGAGCTCAGCTGCAGCATCTACTTCCCCAGCAAGAAGGCCCAGCAGCAGCTCTGGCTGCAGTACCAGAAAGGTGAGTGACAGGAAGGCCAAAAATGCATATATTCTGAATGCTTAAGGGATGAATAGAGAGGCTATCTCCACCTACAATATATTGGTTTAGGGGGGAGATTTATACAATGTAAAATTCTAAATTTTAACTACATAGGAGAGAGGACTGTGTTTTGAGAAACTGATGGAGCTACTATCAAGAGTAGCTTTAATCTTATCTGCATCAAAGCAGTCAACCTGCCACACATTTATTATAATTTATCAGAAAGGTGGTTACACTTTCTCTGGATACAAACTTAACTATCCATCCGTCCATTATCTACACACCGCTTAATCCTCACTAGGGTCATGGGGGGCTGGAGTCTATCCCAGCTGACTCAGGGTGAAGGCAGGAGACACCCTGGACAGGTCACCAGTCTATCACAGGGCCACACTTATAGACAGACAACCAAGCACACTCACATTCACACCTACAGACAATTTAGAATCACCAATTAACCTCAACATGTTTTTGGACTGTGTGGGAGGAAGCCGGAGAACCCGGAGAGAACCCACGCTGCACGGGGAGAACATGCAAACTCCACGCAGAAAGACGTGAACCGGCGACCTTCTTGCTACAAGGAGGTGCTAACCACTGCTCCACCTTGCAGCCCCAAACTTAACTCGGTTATATTTAAATCCTCCATTTCTCCTTTAATTCACCTTCTGGTTAAAAGCGAGCTGCGTGGATTGAATTAAACATCACAATGACTTAACAGCATCAAATCAGCATCTTGCAGCACTGTTTCATTTAAATATTTCTTTTTTTCTCTGTTTATTTGTGATCCAAAACAGATTTTTTCTTTTCTTTTTTCTGTCAAGCCATTCAGTGTGGCTGATGGGCTCCCGGGTACATACAGTACTCGTTCACCTTGTAGGACAAAAAAGATTTGGGGTAAAGAAGGTCCAAGATTGAACATCCACACCCCCTTAAGTGAGTTTTCAATGCCAGCGTGCTGTATGACAGGGACAGAATCCATGTGTCACACAGGAATGAGATTACATTTCAACCAAATCCTTCAGTAGGTGGTTTTAATGATTAGCATTCATCCAGACTAAAACCCAGTGGTGGAAGAAATACTTTGATCTTCCACTTAATTAAAAGTACCAAGACCACAGTGTAGTAATAGCCTTTTAGAAGTAAAAGTCATTCAATCCAATTTTACTTGAGTAAAAATACAAATGCATTAACCTCTGGATATAAGTGTCAAAAGTGAGGATACTGCTTTTGCAAAATTACCCATTTTAAAATTGTCCTTAAGTTATCGATGCATTTATGTATAGGCATTTTTTGCAGCTACTAAAAATAAAATGTGGATCATTTTTAAATGTAACACTGCTTTATCACACTTATAGAGCCTAATATTGTTGAGTAGTATGATTACAAGAACATATCACGATTTATTTGTTAATAATATGAATTAATAATCTAGATTTTCAAAGTAAATCTTGCTTAAAGCTTTACAGTATTGTAGTGAAGTAAGAGGTGCAATATTTGCCTCTAAAATAAAAATATACCAAGTAAAGCATGAAGTAGCACAAAACAGAAGTTCCTGGACGTTGTACTTAATTGCAGTGCTTGAATATGTTATTATTGTTTTACCACTGTGGCAACAAAAACCATTATACTTGAATAGACATGCACACTGCTTGACCAAACAGAACACACCGAGTCTATCTGGGTCTACAAGAACCCAGTACTAAGAAGGCAACAAGTGCCAAATAAAGTACATAAAACCTGAGAGAAAACAGTTTCAGTCGTATGCTTCAGGCAGTGATGAATGTAAACAAGTATGTTTACTTGTGCTGTAGAAGTTGAGCTGCTAGTATTTGAGTTTATCTGACAGTTTAAAATAGACTATTAGAGGATTAACAAGGCTGCAAGGTGGAGCAG